TACTTCTAGAACTGTGAATGGACCCTGTGAATATTACTTTTATATCACAAGAAGTGGTTTGCAGGTGCAATTCACTTAAAATTGTTAAGTTGCAAAGATGATTTTGAATTACTCAGGTGGTCCACAATGTAATCACAAGTATCCTTATGAGAGGGAAGCAGGAGACACAGATTTAGAGACAGGGATGTGAGATTGAAAATAGAAAAATATTTGAAGATGTGAACTACTAGTTTTAGAGATATGGGAATGGACCATGAGCCAAGGATACAAAGATTACAACTCTAGCAGTTGGAAAAGGCAGGGAATCAGATTCTACCCTACGACTTCCAGAAAGAGAATGAACTTTGATCTCAGTCCAGTGAATGCCTTTTTAGATTTCCGACCTCCAAAGCTATGTGGTAATCATTTATGCTGTTTTTTGAAACTAACTCTGTGGTAGTGTGTTGCCACATCAATGGGAAACTAATACAGGGATCACGTAGAAGACTAAACGATTTACTAAGGTTGAGGGTCCAAGATTTTGTACTCATTATATCCAGTGTCTATGATCAAAAGAGTATGAAGCTGTAGAATTGTAATGTTGCTAGAGTATTCCTTCCTGTTGAGAGTGGGAATACCAAGGGAACATACTGAGACACACTCTTACCTTCTACTTCAGGATTCCATATCAGAGGGTCGAGCTCACTGATTCCATGCCAGCAAAGAAGAGATTGACAGTGATAAGAATCAAATTCTTGAGGTTGAATTCTGTGTGGGGGTTATTTTTATCCTAAAAGTGAGGACAATAGTAAACACAATCACTCTTTTCTGTCTTTGTCTTCTTATTTCTTTCGTGTGCTTATGGAAGACCTTTGAGAAAAGACTGTAGCTGAGCAAACCAAGTGGGTTTCCGTGGTGGAATGTGCCAGGCAGAAGAAAGAGCAAGAGCAAGAATGTGGAAACAGGAGGGTATGTTTTATTCTAGAGGACAGCAAGGATGGTAAGAGTGAAGTAAACAATGGCAGAATGGGAGGACTAAAAAAAATCAAGTGCCTGTGAGATTTGAATATTCTAAGACATGGTGGACCTGGGTCATAACAACAAATATTTCTAAATTTCTGAACTTCTAATTTTCTAAATCACTGAGACATCTGACATGTATGTTTCTCAAATTCTAACGTACTGAAGTTATCATTCTAGTTTTCTACAGTTGTATGTTGGTGGCATATAAGCTGAGAAAGGCACAAGATTTTAGTTGTACATGTTTCTAAAACTTTAAACTTTAAGATTTATTCTCAAATTTTATAAGTTTGTACTTTTATTTTTTCTATATTTTATTTCTAAATATAAGTAAACCATGTGAAACAATACTTGTTCTTTTGTTGAGAACGTGCTTACGTGTGGTTTTCTTGAAGCATGACCTAGAGATAGAGAAGATGAAAGAACTGGAAGAAGAAGAGAAGGTACCTGATGCATCTTGATGAGGAAACAGTCAATGAAGTCCCGAGGATTTGCGGGGTCAAGAGATGCTTCGTTGATTTTGACCCTAGAGGCAATGAAGTCCTTGAGCTCCTCTATCAGATAGTAGATTCAATTATGTCTTCCTGGAAAATACTGCATGATTCCGGAATACATATCATATGGCTGTGAAGAACAGAGCAGAGGTTTATTACTGTTGAGCACAGCATGAGCTGAGTCTAGATCCCCAAAGCTGGGCTCAAAATCTAGAGTTGGTCTGAAACCTGGACATATCCCTTCACTCTTTGGAGACTTGGGCATATTGATCCTTGCCTCCCAGGGTTGTGGGCAGAGCTAAGTAAGGTATAGGGCAGCTGCTTAAGTAATTCAGATTTGGGGTAGAGTTGGCAGAAAAGTGGCTGTTAGGCACCTGTGCCCAAGGGGTGCTCATCTCAATAAAACTCTCGTTGATCAGCCTCAGCAGTTTGAGGAACTGTTCATCTTCATAGTCAAAGCAGCTTCCAAAAAATGATGGAACTGATGATGTTGGAGACGGTGCGGCTCAGGAAGAAAGTGAGGTGGATGGGGGCACCTGGTAATGAGAGGTGTGTTAGACATTATTGTTAATGTGGGCTGTGGAGTCAATCAGTCCTTGCTGGAGACCTGGTTTTAGGACTTAATTTGTTGTTTGTGCTTTGAGTCTAGATTTCCCAATATGCAAATTGTATTAATAAACACTTCATTGGTTTATGTGGTTTACATGAAGTGGTTGGCAAACTGTCTGGCATGTTTTAAGGACTCAGCAAATGCTAGAAGGACTTGGCTTTTGTTTTTTGTACATGTTTTAGTGATGGAATCACAGACTTGTGAAACAAGTACTAGTACGAAATATATAGAAGGAACAACAACAAAAAAGAAGGCTAGTCTCGTAATTTAAGTTCTATCATTTATTCTATTGGAGTCCTGGTGTGGTGCTCTGGGCTAATGCATCAGACTGCAAAGTCATTTGAACTACAAGGTTTGTGGTTCAAGCTCACCAGATTTTCCTTGGAAACCATATACAGGGTTGCTATGGTTCAGAACTGACTCAACAGCACATAACAACAACAACACTTTATTCTATTTGTGCTATTGAGAGTATCCTTCCCTAGAACTCAGTGATGTATCTTAAAATAGGATGCTGGATTTGGCGGCGTTTTCTGCAGAAAGATGCACATAATCACATATGTGTATACATGTGTGTGGTGGTGATGGTGGTAGTGAGCCACAGAGTTGATTCTGACTCATAACAACCCTGCGTAGGGTTTCTGAGGTTGTATAAATGTATGGGAACAGAAAGCCTCATTTTTCTCCTGAAGAACAGCTTTCTGATCCTGTAAACGACCTTGAAGTTAGCAGATCTTGAAGTTACAAGTCCTTCTCTGGCTTGTAACCATTACTCTACCAGAGCTCCTTATGTATATATGTCTGATTTGAAAATGATTTATGGGCATATATAGATACTCTAAACCTTCCCACAGTCCCTGTTAAGCATCCTTGGAACCCAGGTGAGGAATGTCTGATTTAGAGATTAATTTCTATCTCGTATCTGGAGTGCTGGTATGGTGCTGTGAGCTAAGGTCACTTTGAACCGTATGGTCATTGGTTCAAGTTTACCAGTCCCTCCTCGGAAACCCTATACAGGGCCTCTATGGGTCAGAACCAACTTGATGACACTTAACAACAACAACATGTCTTATCTGTGCATTTCTCAGTGTCTGTGTCTTTTCTCTTTTATCCTTTCTTTTCTACTCCCATCACAGAGGTTCCTCCCACCAAGGCCTATCTTTTCTAGATTGAGCTCTCTACAACCAGTCGATTGTAGCTATCCCGTCTGTGGCCCCCATATGGTTGGTCTTCCATAAACTCTCCAATAGGTAGCTGGCCTCCTCCTGGATCTGCTCCTCAATGTTTCGCTTTCCCATCCCGAAATCCTGGAGGATGGTCAGGGAGAAGCGGTGGAGAATCTTCCATCATTCCCCATTAGCCAGAGCTATACCTGCCAGGATCTCAGTGTCAAGAAATTACCTTCCCTCCCTTTGTTTCCACTCTGTGCAGGACCATGAAGGGGACATATAATGAAAGCTGCAGATTATGGTATCCAGGACCCCTTCCTAACTTCACAGTCTAGATGGAGAGACTAAGGTTCCCTCCCTATACGTCTTTCAAGTGTAGGACTTGTGTGAGAGAAAAGGTATCTGATTGCTTGTACAGAAAAAATAATGAATGAAGGAATCATTGGGTGGAAGCATGGATAAATTAAAAAGTGAACAGGTGGAAGTTAAGGGGAGAGAGAGATGTTTGGATGGATGGATAGATGGGTGAGGATGGATGGATGCGAGACAACTTGGAATTGAAGAATCTGAGTAGTTGGAAATGGATGTATGATTAACACTGTCAGGGAGTCTACCTAAATAGGAATGCAGAAGCACATGTGTTGTGTATGTGTCTTTGAAAGGCAGGAATGAAGGTTGACTACGAAGGCTGGAATTTGTACACCAACAATGTACCTGCCTACATCTCCTTTGTCAAACCTATGCATCTTAGCGTAGTGGTTACGAATTGGGCTGTGAACTGCAAGGTCAGCAGTTTGAAACTACCAGCTGTTCCGCGGGAGAAAGATGAGGCTTTCTGCTCCTGTAAAGATTTACAGCCTCGGAAACCCTGTACAGGGTCGCTATGAGTCGGAACTGACTCCAGGGCACATAACCAACCAACCAAAATACATATTAATGGGCATCGTCCCATTCTCCCACCCACATCCGTTTAGCTTGACTGTCTGTCCATGAATCCACTCATAGATGACTGTTATTGCAGGGCTGTGTACACGACAGTATTTATCTCTGTTGCCTTTAACCCTTGCACTCCTCACAGTGTCTTCCCTCACCTTCACCACTGATTTGCTGATCTCCCTCTTATTGTCTACTGCCTTTCACCCCTGCTCACAGCAGCACTGGGAAAGTCCCTAGGATCGTGTTTTTCAGATTGCATAATAATATACTAAGCTGTTGTTTTACCTGAGAAAGGGGTACCTCTTCAGAATCTGCCTAAAGGACTGTAGGTTAAGTCTAGCCGTCTCTGCACAGATGTGGGTTCAAGTACTTATATTCTGAGACCTTGGAGAGAGGCTATACATTCTGAACCTCAGCTGTGGCACCTGTAAAGTGGGTATGGACACTGTTTCCCATAGCATAGGTGAGTGAGCTTTATGTGATGTGAACAGGTAAAGCTTTTAGCATAGAGCTGACACAGGTTGCTTGCTTAATTAATAATAGTAGTTATTATTATTATCCACAATATAGCTGTAAGGTTTTCCTCCCTCCCCCCATTCCAACTCTGAAGGGTCTATGTCTTGCAAGTGAACAGAGCCCATTGTATTTCTTCTTGTCTTCTTAACCAATGCCCCTTCCTTTTATCCTCAGATCCCGCCCCCTTAGGGTAGTCTGGCCTGTGAGTCCCACCCACTAGCTACTCTGTCTCCCCATTTGCCCCTCCCACTGGCCCTGTCCTGGCACAGTGCTTGTTCAACGGGGCTGGAAACTCATGGTATAGGTTCGTGGGATAGTGGCAAAACCCACGCTTTTAGGGGAGATGTCGATGTCCTTGGGCAACTGTGGAGACTTGAAGCTGAAGTTCTGCAAGATGGTGGTGAGGAAGAGAAAGAGCTCCATTCTAGCCAGACCTTCCCCGAAACAGTACCGCTTTCCTGGAGAGGCAAGGAGGGAGAATTGGAGGTGAAAGGATTCTCACTGCCACCTCCCCTCTGCACAGGGCAGGGCATGGACACTGAGCTCTTAGTATCCCCTGTAGTTGAGATGGGGTGTGGTCCCTGCCAGGCGTTAGCAATGGGAACTTTCAATGCCCCTTCCTTCCCCAAAAGCAGCTGAGGTGGGTTAAGCATTGGGCTACTAACTAACTGCAAGGTCGGAGGAGGTTCAACCCATCAGTCACTCCAAGGAGGAAGGAAGTAGCAGTCTGCTTCAGCAAAGACTTGGCAGCCTCGGACACCCTCTGTCCTAGCAGTCCACTCTGAATTGTCTGTTTTGGGTTTGGCTTCCTTTCTCACATGGCTGCTATCCTGTCGTCTCCTTCTTAGGGATCAGAAATGTTCGTTGTGTGACCTTAGACAAGTTTCTCACTCTGGGCCTTGATTTTCCCCATCTCTGCAATGGTCTGGTCATTTAACCCTTTGCCTGGGTGCAGTTGCTTGGTATTAATAGAGGCTGAAGTTAGGTAGCCCGAGGGTGCTGTTGAGTCAGTTCCTATTTCATATTGGCCCTGTATAAGGTTTCCGAGGTTGTCAATCTTTTCTGGAGTAGAAAACTTCATCCTTCTCCTGTGGAGTGGCTGCTGGATTCGACCTGCTGACCTTGTGGCTAGCAGCCCAATATGAAACCCACTATGCTAAGAAGGGCTTTCTAGTCGGAGAAAGGTACTAGACTACACCTTAGAGGAACTTATCAGGGTGAGGGAGGTTCCCGGTGATCTGGCTGCAGACAGAGGGTCACTTACCGATGGAGAAGGGCACAAAGGCATCATTCTTCTTAAACTGCCCTTTCTCATCCAGGAAGTGCTGGGGGTTGAAATCTCGGGGGTTGGAGAAGAACTTGGTGTCTCTCAGCACAGAGCCCAGCATAGGGAACACTTCGGTGCCCTGATGAGGAAGAAGAAGAGGAAGGGGAATTTGATAAGGCAGGGTGGGAATGAGTACGTTGAAAACACATAAGAGTCAGAAGGAGAATTAGGGGGCCCAAGGTGAAGAGTAATGGAGGCATGTGAGTTGGAGTCATCTGAAGAAGGAGCGCAGAAGAATATGAGTTTGAGTCCCCTGAGATGGGAGTTTGGGGGTTCATGTTCCCCAAGACAGGACACTTGAGGATATCAGTTCTGTGTCTCCAGACACAGAAGGTCTTGGAGGCATGTGTTCATATCCCCTGATATAGGATGATTGGTGAATATGGGATTCTGTGTCTTCTGAGGCAGGAGGTTTGGGGACATGGATTCATGTCTCCCAAGACAGGAACTTTGGGGGAGATACAAATGGGAGGTTTGAAAATGATTGGGAATCCTTGATTGGGAGAATGGGACATGGGCCAGAAAGCTTTGTAGGATACATGCGTCAGCTGGGTGGGGGCAGCACCTTGGGGATGAGGAAGTCCTGAAACTTGGTGTCCTTGGTGACGCAGCGGGCCAGACCCATGGGAATCATGTCTCCGAATCTTTGTATCTCGTGGATCACTGCCTCTGTGTAGGGCATCTTGGCCCGGTCCTCAAACTTGGGCTGACGGTTCTTGCCAATCACTCGGTCAATCTCCTCATGCACCTTGGCTGGGGGAGAAGAGAGGATGCATTTTTAGTATCTAAGGGTCTCTGGATAGAGATGATCATCCAAATATTCACACTTGGTTAGTATCTAAGGGTCTCTGGATAGAGATGATCATCCAAATATTCAACCTTGGTATGGCGTGGACGCTGTTGTTGTAATTTGACATTGAGTCAACTCCAACTCATCATGGCCCCATGTACGCAGAGTATTAAAACTGAGCCCTTTCAGAAGTAGATCAGCAGGGCTGTCTTCTGAAGTACCTCTGGGTGGGTTCGAACCACCGAACTTTCAGCTAGAGGTCGAACCCTGAACCGTTTGTACCACCCAGGCTACCTTTGACATAGATGTAGACCCTTCAAAACAGATGCCAGTTACACACATTGCTGGAGTAGGACCCTGTGAGCCTGTTTGTGTTGGAATCAAAGGGAAAGTTAGAGTATCAGGCAGTGGAACTCAGTGGGCTCAGCCCAGGGGGCAACAGTTCAGAACTTCTCATTATTTCAGCAGCGAGTGAAACTCATCTGCTGCCTATCGGCTGAATATCACCTTTGCTCTGTATAGCAGGGGATGTCTCGGAGGTTTTAGGATCTGGGAGAGATGGGGGGCCTGTTAGTGGGCTCAGAGCATGTTTGAGTCAGAGACGACATTCCCTCCAGTGTCATCTTCCACATCTGGGTGCTTCATGAGAAGCAGGAAGCCATAGCGCAGGGTTGTGCTGATGGTCTCCGTGCCGGCAAAGAAGAGGTTCAGCGTGGTCAGCACCAAGTTCTTCTGATAGAACTCAGTGTGGGGGTTCTTCTTCTCCTGCAGGGAGAGAAGGCTTCAGGCCAAGCCCACTCCCCATTCCCACAGGACCCTTTTGGGAGATGTGGTTTCCCTAGGAACCCATCTCTCGGATTCCTGAGGTCTCATTTTTGTCAAACCGGAAGTGGGAAGTGGGACCCTAGTTCTGCCATGCTTTCTCTGGTGGCCAGGCTCGGTTGCCTCTGCTATAGCTGCTCTTCTCATGCTGGGCCTGCTTACTCTCTGCCCTTTAATGATCACATTGTATGGTATGTGGCTCTGTAGGATAAGCACCGGACAGCTAACAGCAAGGTCGGCAGTTCAAACCCACCAGCTGCTCCTCGGAAACCCTATACAGGGTCTCTATAAATCGGAATCAACTCAACGGCACTTAACAACAACAACAATATGGTGGGAATATTTAGAGAAGGACAGTAAGTGAGAGAGGGACAGAGATGTCGAGCCTGAGTCAGACATAAAATCCGATTTTCTGAGACACAGTGTTTTAACGACAGCATCCTAGTCTTTTCACTAAATCTTGACGCTTATTGTGAGGAGTCCCCTTCTCTGCTCCATTTACTCTGAACTGCAGACTCTGTAAAGCCCCGTGTCTTTTCTGCACAGGTGAGAGACTGACTTCCAGTTGGGTGTGGGGACCCTTCAATGTCACCTAGTAATAGCCAGGTTAACAATCGACACAGGAGTGTCTGCTAGCCAGGGTACAGAAAGTAAGAGAGCCTGGTGACTTAGCGTCAGCTGACTAGACTCCGTCACTTCTTGACTCTGTGTCCTCAGACAAGCCACTATGCTTTCTGGGTCTCAGTTTCTTCGTCTGTAAAATTGGGGTTGCAATAGAAGGTCTTTCAAGGAGCTGTTGAAAATATTAAATAGACAAATGCTATAAAGCACTTAAAACAGTGACTGGCATCTATCTGGCAGTGCAAAAAACAACAACCAAAAATCCAGTAGCTGCTGGGTCAATTCCAGCTCACTGCAACCCCATGTGGCCCTTATTGCCCTCCGTAAGGGTTTTCAGGGTTATGACTTTTCAGAAGCCCATCACTAGGTTTTTCTTTCAAGGAGCCTTTGGGTGGATTTGAACCACCCACCTTTTGCTTAGTAGCCCAGTGCTGAACCAGAGGACCCAGTAGTGCAATAGAAGTGTAGTGTTGTGATTCACAAGTACTACAGAGGGTAAGGGTTCAGCCAAGGGAACTGTGATGGTTAATTGTCAAAGGGATTGTGGGGATTATTATGTGGAGGGGCTGGTCTGAATGGGTCTTTGTGTTCTGCCCCAGCCTGATTTTCCTCTACCTAGCTTTGGAATCCAACCCCTCACCCCCAACCCCACTCCTTGCACTAGTTGCCTGGATGCACCTCCTGCATTCGGATGAGGAAGGAATCGATGAAGTTCCGTGGGGAGTTCGGGTCCAGTGTGCACTGGTTCTGTTCCACCTTTTTAGCTATGAAGTCCTCGAGTCCCTGCAGGTCCTTAAAGGCCTGTTGCTGTGGTCCTGGTAGATGTTTCATCACTGGGTAGAACATCTCATAGAGCTGCGGGTGTGGGGAGGGGAAGGACAGCAGTCAGTGGGAAGAGGAATCTTGTCTCAGGGCAAGGGAGGCATGTAGGTGGGGCTGGATGGGAGTCTATATCTAAATTTTCAAGTGTGCTTCTTATGCATCTAGAAATATAGGAGGTGGATTGGAGCACACACTCATGTGTTCCTATATTGAAGTGAGGCTGGATTGGGAGGTACCTGTCTGAATGTTTAGGCACTCTAGTGGGCTAGGTTGAAGGCATTGTCTATGGAGCTGTATTTGGGTACCTAGGAGATTTAGATTGGAGG